AAGCGCTCCTGTTCCAACAATTGCAAGCTTATCTTTAAACACTCCTCCTATTCTTTGGTTAATGGCTTAGAAGTCATCAGAGTTTCCATTTTTTTTTTTTTTTGCTTGATTAAAAATAATGTATGGAAGAAGCACACAAAGGAAAGAGAATATGATTCAAATAAATCTTAGTCGGGGTTGATCCTATCCAGAGATGAAGAGCAGCATCACATCAGGAGCATTACAACAAGCACATTACAGGGTTCTATTACTGTTGTTGTTGTTGTTTTAGGTAGAAACACAACATTGTGTTGTTTTAGGTGACTGTTAATTCATTATTAATGAAATGTCTACACTGGCATTTCTGAATTTATTTATTCATTCAAATGTTTTCTAAGTCCCTATTAAAAGCCGTGTAGTCAGAGCTGGAGAGCTAGGTCAGTGCCTAAGAGTACTTGCTGCTCTTCCAGAGGACCCAGGTTCAGATCCCAGAACCCACACGGAGCTTCATGAGACTCTAAATAAATACATACATAAATGGCCAAAGTGCCACAGGGAGAAACAAGAAATTAGACACAACAAAGAAAATCATCTATAGCCTCAGAAAGTTCAGAGAGAAGCTGAGAGAGACTGGTGCCAAAAGTCTGCGTAGGCCGGGCGGTGGTGGCACATGCCTTTGATCCCAGTACTTGGGAGGCAGAGGCAGGTGGATTTCTGAGTTCGAGGCCAGCCTGGTCTACAGAGTGAGTTCTAGGACAGCCAGGGCTACACAGAGAAACCCTGTCTCAAAAAACCAAAAACAAAAAACAAAAGTCTGCATGATAGGACCAGCAGGATGGGTTAAAGGAAGACGCTTAACTAGACACTAGGATATCTGTGAGAAACTAATTCATTGGGAAGATATGCATAAAGTCAGGGCCGTCATCTTTCTTCCATTTGAGATCATGGCTGGGCCTCACAGGGTTCGGGAACTATCTGTAGCATATGAATATACAAACGGACATTTTCTGGATACGCAGAGCCCTGCTTTCATTCTGGTTTCAACGACAAAAAACTGTGTCCTCTGATCCCTAAACTTCATTTTCTGTCTTCATCAGAGATGAGTTTCAGGTAAGGCTGTGCTTGGAGTCCGGCATTTAAAGTTAATAAGAGATTCCCGAACTTTCTACATCTCGGAGAGAACAATGGTTCCTAAAAAGAAGGGCAAAGCAGACATACAAGACTTCCTTCTTCCATGTTCCCACTGAAATGAGCACAGATATCCTCCTACACACTCAGACACCATGGCAACAGCCATCGTACAAAGACGAGCAGCAGGGAGTGGGTCAGGGCTTGTGTGTGTGGAGCCGACTGCAGGGAAAGGTAGAACGCGGGCCTGAGCCCCTACCTAACACAGCTGCCATTTCCCTCTCCCAATCCACTTCTTTGAAAATTCATTTCAGGAATTTTGGAGACTTCTGGCAATTTCCCCTAAAATAAAGAGCAACCACAGAAATAAAAATTAACACACAAGAAATACAGTGACACTGACCACCCACATTCCGAACACAGGGGTGTGTGGACCCTAACTAAGTGTCTTCTAAGACACTCAAAAGCTCAAAGGCTTCTGGCTGTTCAATCTAACCTTACATGCCTTACACTGTAATTTATAAATAAAATTCATTTATAATTCACAACCCATACATGAGCAAGCAGTTATCTACATTGGTTTATTTGCCATGATGAGTTTCACACACCTCCCTCAAATCCGTAACTCTTGAGGCAAAGAGAAAATGAAAATATGGGCATTCCAACATATGAGGGTAGTGCCAGCCAGGGAGTAGGTGGATCCAACATAGCCACACTTGTACTCTCTGGATGCAATATTACACATTATTATGGACTCTAACTGCACTGGGTGGAGCGTTGTATTCTGCAGCTTTCCTTAACAGCTGCTGCTCTTCACCTCACAGTGCACTGCATGCATGAGCACACAGGGTTACAGGTGTGCTTACTCCGTCACTGTATGGAAAGAAGGGCTCCGAAGGTAAAGGTGCTTGCCGCGAGCCTGACAACTGGAATTTTGTTCCTGGGTTCCAAATGTTGGAAAGTAATATATGACAAAAAATAAAAAATAAATGACAAAAAGTAATAAGTAAATTCCTGTGTTTGGAATGTGGGTGGTCAGTGTCACTGTATTTCTTGCGTGTTAATTTTTATTTCTGTGGTTGTTCTTTATTTTGGGGGAAAATTGCCAGAAGTCTCCAAAATTCCTGAAATGAATTTTCAAAGAAGTGGATTGGGAGAGGGAAATGGCAGCTGTGTTAGCTAGGGGCTCAGGCCCGCTAGTAAGTTGTTCTTTTACCTTCACAAGCATGGGTAAGGTGCACACATAATCAATCGATCAATAAATAAATAAACACAATTTTTACAAAAGAAAGAAGAGAAACTAAACTCAGAAGACACAAACATCTACGCCTTAGGAACAGGCAGTCACTAACGGTTCTCCTACATGACTCTCTTTAATACACCATGAACTGCTGACCATTAATCAAGGCAGCAAGTGATCTCCGAGCAGAATACGACAGGAATTTCTCAAAGTCAATCAATCAACACAGGATAAAGAATTGCTTTTTTTCTTCATAGACTACTAACTAAACTGACAAAATGCTAGGCATCTTCCAGTTAGTTACACTTATGGGCAATCCCAGCACATGGGAGGCAGAGGCAGGGGTGAGAGCCTCCTACAGCTTAAGATTAGAAGCCAAGTTGTTACAAGATAAAGTCATCCCTGTTTTCTGTAAATTCCACTTTCTCCTATGTTCAATGATGTTCTTTCAAACCCTGCTCTAGGAAACAGCCCTGTGTGATGGAGAATAAAGCTTGCTTACTTCCAGTAAAAGAATTCTCTTTCCGTGGGATTAACAGCAGATCTCCGAGTTCAAGGCCAGCCTGGTCTACAGAGCAAAACACAGAGAAACTATGGCTATACAGAGAAACCCTGTCTCAGAGAGAGAGAGAGAGAGAGAGAGAGAGAGAGAGAGAGAGAGAAAGAAATAAAAAGATAAAAAGAAAACTGTTGTAGGAAACATGAAACAGAAGCAGAATAATCAGAAGCCTGAAGGACCAGAGGAAAACACCACAGGACAAAGTGGAGAGCACGAGCAGCACACAGTGGAACAGCAAATAAGAAGGCAGGGAGTGAGGGTGAGGGGCCAGGCAGTCCACATGGGCCAGGGCGAAAATGACCAAAAAAGAAAGGATAAACCTAGATGAGAACGGGAAGCAGTAAATGCTAACCATCACCGTAACATCATCATCCCACAACAGACTCTCTAACCACAGGTGTCTGTTCTGCATCCCACAACTGCCCCACGCACACACATCTGTACTGCTTTGCTTTTCTTTTACATTCTAGACTTCAGAGCTCTAGTGATATATTATTATCATATGTGGGTGACACATGCCTATAACTCCAGCATTAGGGAGGCTGAGACAGGAAGACTGCCTTGTGTTCAGGGCTACAGAGCAAGACCCTGTCTCAAACAAAACACACACACACACACACACACGAAATGTCACTTCAATCTCTTTCAATATCTCTTCTAACATGCCCTCAATTTCAAACCCTCATGACTATATTCTTCTCTCCTAAAACTCCAACTAAAATTGCCCCTGTTGCCCCGTTAGTGTGACTCTCTTGCCCTCCCCTTTACCGTCATACATGGTAAGTGCTGAAAACCTGCTAATCCATTAATTAAAGATCTCTACTTCCCATTATGGAGGACTAAATTTAGAAAGCCAAATTAAGCTGGGAGGAAAGCATGTGTCACAACAAGAGAGATGAATTCCACGGAAGAGGCTGGGCTCCTGCCTGAGTCTTACAAAGCCCCTGACACTAACACACTCTTCTGCTTTGCGTACAGAGAAACATCCCACCGGAGGGCAGCCACTCATCACTGTAATCATCTGGAGAAATCGATTATCTCATCAGGTCACAAAAGCCACAGGACATTACCAAGCAACTGCCTCAGAGGACAATCTTTGCTTTCCCAAACCTCCAATTTAGTCACACAAAAGAAAGGGTGGCAAGCTAGCATTAACTGTGCCCTTAGAGAAGAGCCACTTCCCGCCTGCAGGGGTGGCAGTGACTTTACTGGGTTACCAAATGGATATAAAGACAAAAGTAAACACTGTAATTTTCTGTTTTGTCTCTGGCACAGGGGGAGTAGTACCATCTACACAGTCTGTAAACAGTAATAATGCCAGATGTAACAAAAGAACAGGGTTCCCCCCATCTCTCCGCCCCCATTCCCACCCGCCTAATGCCATTCCTTCTGAGATTACTCATCTTGAGGAAACACACAGAAGCTTCCTATAGTCCATATGCTGCTACCAAATGGAAGAGGGTGAGAATCCAAGTCTGCACTGATTCCTCCTGGCTGTTACACAAAGACAGAATATTCGAGATTCAAGACATTTTTGTTTGGTTGATTTTATTTTTTAAGACAGGGTATCACTACAAGGCACCAGATAGCCTGGGATTCACTATGTATCCCAGGCTGGCCTAGAACTCACAGAGATCCACTTGCCTCTCCCCTCCAGTGCTGGGAATTCAGGTTTGTGCTATTATGCCTGGCTAACAAATTATACCCCTTCTTGAATGTTTTTTTTTTTTCTTTTTCCTTTTTTCTCACTGCTGGAGATCAAACCCAGGGTCTTACGCTTGCTGGGCAAGCACTCTGTACCAAGCTAATTGTTTAGCCATAGAACCCAAGAAACCATCAGTTATTTCTAAAGGCTGACAAACCAACAGACAAGAGTACAGGGAAGGAGAAGAAACAGGAAAGCAGGTGTGGACCACATAGCATCCTGAAGTCTAGACTCAAACAAGACTGAAATGTGAAAAATAAATAGTATACATGAAAACAGAATCACTCTAACAAACTACAAGGCTAAAAGGGCTACTAACAGTCTGAGCCTGAGCCTAGGAATTCATGAAAAGCACAGAAGAAAAGGACAAATTCAAGAAGGAACATTACCTGACCAGAGTTCTCGCCAGGTGTAATGCAGGCGAACTCTACATTTCTTCTGGTAACACAGCAGTTTATGCACTACCTGGACACATCGCCTGCAATAAGAAAGAAAACCGGGGTAAGCTTCAGAAGCCAACACAGCTCACCTGTACTCTTCCTTAGGGAGGCAGCTTTGCTGGGGCCACTAAAACTGAGGTAAAAAAAAAAAAATCCTGGTGATTTCCTCTGTCAGTCTCTTTCATATACACAAACTAACTCCTACTCCCCCCGCACCCCCCACACACAATTTGTGCTACCCATGGGGCTATAACCACTTAGATGCCTATACTGAATCACCACTGAAGGGGCTATCAATGTGGCTCTTCCAGAAGACCTGGGTTCAATTCCTAGTATCCACATGGCAGTTCACTATTGTCTGTAACTCCAGTTCCAGGAGATCCAACATCTTTTGGCCTCTCTGGATACCAGGCATATACATGCTATGCAAGGGTACATATAGGCAAAAACATCCATACACATAAAACATTTTTAATTAAAAAAATTTAAGAGAGAGAGGAATGGATTGAATATATATATATAAAAAATTAAAGACATTAAGACTCTAGATCAGCCAGGCGGTGGTGGTGCATGCCTTTAATCCCAGCACTTGGGAGGTAGAGGCAGGCGGATATCTGAGTTCGAGAGTTCGAGGCTAGCCTGGTCTACAGAGTGAGTTCCAGGACAGCCAGAGCTACACAGAGAAACCCTGTCTCGAAAAACAAAACAAAACAAAAAAAAGACTCTAGATCAAATTCAATTTTAAGAGATGGCTCCACAGGTACCAGGCTCTTCCAATGGCTTCAACAGAGTCCCAGCACCTACACAGAGCAGCTTACAGTTAACTGTGACTCTAGCTCCAGGACCTGACACTTTCTGGCCTCTAAGGGCACCTGCACAGCAAGTTTCAGGCCAACATGGGGTAGGTGAGACTCCACCTCAAAATTAAATAAATAAGCTGGGTGGTAGTGCACACCTCTAGTTTTAGCACTCAGGAAGCAGAGGCAGGTGGATCTCTGTGAATTCAAGGCCAGCCCAGTCTACAGAGCAAGTTCCAGGATAGCCAGCGATACTCAGATAATCCCTTTCTCAGAAAACAAAAAAACAAAAAACAAACCAAAATAGATATATAATGAATGAAAATAAAAATCAGCATAGGGATGCAAAGAGCTCACACAAGTCCAGTTCCTCAGCTGCACAAACCAAGGAATTAGCTGTAAGTACTGCAGCTACAGAGGCCAACAGTCCAGTCATCAGACTATTCAGTTACACACATCATAACAACACAATGTTTTGGGGTTTTTTTTAAAGATTTATTTATTTATTTTATGTATGTGAGTACACTGTCACTCTCTTCAGACACATCAGAAGAGGGCATTGGATCCCATTACAGATGGTTGTGAGCCACCATGTGGTTGCTGGGAATTGAACTCAGGAACTCTGGAAGAGCAGTCAGTTCTCTTAACCACTGAGTCATCTCTCCAGCCCAACACAATGTTTTGTTTGCTGTTTTGAGACGGGATCTCACGTAGCTCAAGTTCACTTCTAACTTTATATTATAGCCAAGAATGACCTCGAACTCTTAATCTTCCCGGCTCCACTTCCCAAGCACTGTTTACAGATAGTTTTGGGGGAGTGCTAGAGATAAATCCAGAGCTTCGTGCATGCTAGGCAACTATTCTACCAAATGAACTATATCCCCAGCCTATTTTGTTTTGTTGAAACAGGGTCTCAGGTAGACCAAACTGGCCTTGAACTTGATATGTAGCCAGGGCTAATGTGGCAGGGAAAAAATATCGGAAAAAAATTATGAGGGTATGGAAAGGAAAGGCAATCCTTCACTCCTGGCTGATTCTTGTTGAAGACTCACCCCAGCTGAGAAGCAAGAGGCTACTGACTGGCACAGATAATTCTAAAACTGCAGTGAGCCAGGATTAAGACCTGAATGTGTATGGCCTTGAGTAGGACCACATTCCACTCCAGGTGTTTCTGGGGATCTCAAAATTAACTTGTTTCAGTGGAGACTTCCTAACTCTCTGTACGACATCCCTGCGCTCTAGAGGTGACCTTGTTCACCTAGCATCTCACTTAGATCTCTAGCAATCCTTTGAAGAAAAGTGTTTCAAAAGCCACCAAACAGTCCAGCTGGCTACTTTCAAGTCTTTCTTACCTTCTTGCTCAATACTTTCTCTTAAATCTTGGGCTTAATATCTATTTTATAAAAAATATTTCCAGAGGCTGGTGCTGAACCGCCTAGCTTGCCTAACTTGAGTGCAATCTAGGTTCAGTCCTGGGTACTGTATCCACTGGATACACACTGGCAAGCATCTGTAATCCCAGCATTGTGTAGTGGAGCAGAAGGATGCCAAGTAATGAACTTTAGCTTACACAGTGTGTAACTAGGCACGCTAACGTCTCTAGCTCAGCGGTTCTCAGCCTTCCACCCGTTTCCACCCTTTAATTCAGTTCCTCATATGTGTTGAGCCACAATCATAAAGTTATTTTCACTACTACTTCATATCTGTAGTCGTGTACTGTTTGAATTGTTATGTAAATGTCTGTGTTTTCTCACGGTTTAGGCAACCCCAGTGAAAGGGTTATTCAACTCTTAAAGGAGTCATCACAACCCACAGGCTAAGAGCTGCTGCTCTAGCTGGTCTCTCTGGCTCTTACCTCTCGGAGCACAGTTAGCACTTTTTTTTTTTCTGTTTCTTGACTTTTTTCTCTTTGAGGCAGGGTCTCACAACGTAGCATTGGTTGCCCTAGAACTCATTATGTAGACTTCCAAACTCACAGAGAGTTCCTCCTGCCTCTTCCTCTCAAGTTCCTAGATCAAAGGTGTGCACCACTATGCCAGGTCCTTTTTTTTTCTGATTATTTCCCCTTTGCAAAGAGGTCCAAGAAATGACCCCAAAGTGAGTTTGGACCAACCTAGGATACATGAGCTCTGGCCTCAAAACAAAACAAATCATCACCAACAATAGCAAAGCGGGGAGCAAAGAAAGGAAGGAAGGAAGGAAGGAAGAGAGGGAGGGAGGGAGGGAGGGAGGGAGGGAAGGAGGGAGGGAAGGGGAAAAGAAGGAAGGAAGGAAGGAAGGAAGGAAGGAAGGAAGGAAG